CCCAATCTATTCTATGATTCTATGATCCCTTTGGTCAATTGGAGTCAGCTATCCCAGCTCTTTGGCCTACATGCTGTTTAAATGATGTTAACTCATAGAACGATATACAGACATCATAGGTTTCTCTTTGAACCAATCCTGTATTTCTGTCTTGCAGAGGATTCGAGGAAGATGCCAAACTGACCATTTAATTTCCTAAATAAAAGTATTATGTCTTAAAAATGGTATCGGGTCTTAACCTTGATGTAAAGCCACTTTTGTTTTTTACTTCTGTTGAAGGATCTTTGGTTTTCTGCCTACAGGTGAAAGAGAAGCTAAAGAACATGGGACCTTTTCAGCCTATGAACATATTTTTGCGACAAGAGATTGAACGAATGCAGAGAGTTATTTCTTTAGTGAGAAGCACTCTGACTGATCTAAAACTCGCTATTGATGGGACTATTGTTATGAGTGAAAATCTGAGGGATGCTTTAGACTGCATGTATGATGGAAGGATTCCTGCTAGCTGGAAAAAAGTAGGTGTATATCAGGTTTTTTTGTAAGGAAAAAAAAATAAATTTCTGTAGAGCTAGATTAAACTGCTAAACATACAGTCAGTACTTTTTTTCAAGCAGAAATGTTAACCAGAACTGTGCAACTGCTGAAGTAGATTTTGGGCTAAAACAAACAGTCAAAACAAGCGCTCTTTCATTTATAAATATAGAAATGAATGTAGGAGATGCAGATATTTCCCATTTTAACAGCCTGTTGCGTATTGGCAGGATAAAAAAAATAGAGAGAAGAGAATAATTTAAAATGTGATGATGGATTTTGAAAAGTAGCACCCACACTAGTGGACTACACTGTTTCTGTTCTTTGAGATTAAGACTTGTAGTTGTAGAATCACAGAATATTAGAGGCTGGAGGGGACCTCTGAAGATTGTCTAGTTTAAGCCCATTTCTGAAAGCACAGTCAATTAAAGTGTTTTTCCCAGGACTCTCCATAGTCAATAGTCCACAACCCCTCTGGACAACCCGTTCCACTGTGTGATTACACTCACAGTAAAAAAACAACCACCACCCAACCTAACAAACCCCCCTTAAGTTTAAATAGTGTATTTAAACCCATATTTTTATCTTGTGCCCATTGCCTCTCCTCCTGTCACTGACAAGGATCTGGCACCATCTTCTTCCGTTCTCCACACGAGGTATAAACACGGATAATATCTCTTCTGAGCCTTCTCTTCTCCAGGCTAAACAATCCCAGCTCTCTCTGCCTCTCCTCATATAAATTGTTTTCAGGGACAACTAAAACAGTTAATGGCAACTGATGGAAAGAAAAATGGGGAGGTTTTTTTTGTATGAGTGTTTGATTTGTGTTTGATTGTTTTGTTTTTATTGATGAGTGTTTTCATGGTACAAAACTTAGACCAAAGTAGATGCTTCACAGCAAAAGTATGATGACACTATTCAAAAAGAAAAAGAATCGTAAATCTTTACGTACTCCAAGCTCAGTTTTCCTTAGCTTTTTTTTTTTAGAAAAAACAGAATAGTTTTGGCAGAAATACTGTTATCTCAATGCATTGACCTTGGCTTTAGAAAGACATGTATACAATCCTTCTTCCTAGTTTACACAGCTATCTAATTTTGCAAAAATGTCATAAAATGGACAATTAGCACGGGGAGCATTAAGCATGTCTAAATAGAATGGTAGGCATGGATTTGAACAGAGCAAGAATTTACTTCAGTTTTCAGTGGGATGCAGCATTTATCAGTTTAAAAGTTAAGATATAAAAAATGAGCTTTAAATATACTTTGCTAATATTGTGTTGTTTACTACCTTGTGAGGAGTTAGCTGTTCTTGGCATAAATACGATGGTTTAAAACTGTTGAGTAAAACTAAAAACTTAACATACTGTTTATTATTTTTAGGCATCTTGGGCTTCCAGTACACTTGGTTTCTGGTTTACTGAGCTTCTAGAAAGAAACCACCAATTTTACAATTGGATTTTTGAAAGCCGACCAAACTGCTTCTGGATGACAGGGTTTTTTAATCCTCAAGGATTTTTAACTGCAATGAGGCAGGTAAATTGTGTTTAAAATCTCGCTCTGCTTATTCTTTAGTAAACTTTTAAAAAATATGTATATTATGTGATGAAGGCTGAGTTATACATATGACTCTACCATGTCAGCAGGGAAGATACATGACTATATAACTATCTAGTATTTCCTGAGTGAAGTTGTCTTCCTCTGCACATTTTTTTTCATTACATCAACCACTAATGTATTAAAATATATTTCCTACTTTAACCAAGCCCCATGTATATAGGGGCTACCTTACAACAGGCCCTTGGCCTGAGGGCACTCAGGTGGGAATCCCATGGGACCTCAGAAAAAAGCTAACTTTTGGAGGAGAGAATGAAGATATGCAGAAAAGGAAATTCTTCCCTCTTGCTCTGAGGTCTGAGTAGTATAGTCTTCAGCCATCAAACTGAAGTTCTAATTGGTGACTTACTTTTTCTAAAATTGCAGGCATATAGCCTTGGAATGGTATAACAAGATATTTCTTTTGTGTAAACAGTCCTAAACTGGGATTTGCTTTTGGACCCAAGCTTCTGGAAAGGGTTTAGTAGCAGGCTCTGAAACAGTTGGAATCTACAGGGCTTTTCTGGTTCCTTAAAAAGAGAACATGGTTAAATAACAACCTAATGTCCAAAGTAAAAACCAAAGGGACTTTATGAGCTTTGCTGTATGGTAAAACAAATAGAAATTAGAAAGATGAGCCAGAATTATCACTGAACTATAACCTTCTGCTCTTTTAAAGTAGTTAATTAACTGCAGTATAGGAAAAACATTAATTCCAATTACTTCAATCAAAGATCTTGGAAAACATTTACAAGACTGGGATAAAACTTAGGTGTGGCATAATTTAATGGCATGGGATAGTAAAGGATTGTGCAAGATAAAGGGGTGTTGTCCAGTGCACTAACTAACTGACTAAATTTGAAATATATGTTGAATCTTAAGCATGCCTTTCTTCAAGTGTTCCCTGGGTTTTTTGCAGCCTCTTTATGTAGCTTTAGAGCTGAGTGAGCTCTCACTCATTATTGAGAATACAGTTAATGGAGTATTAGTTACAGGAAAAGGAAGGTAAACCCAGAAAATATGCAGCAAATTATGCCTTTCACTTTTGTCATTGGAACTGTTTTACTTAGTTTACATGCAGTTAATGTTTTCTTATCTCATGGAAGCTGTGAAATTTTCATATTTGCAAGAGCCGGGTACTATTGGCATTTAGTGGTTGTGTTACTTGATGTGGTCTTAAGATACTGTATATAACAGAAAGATTGAAAATCGAATATAGTGAATAAAATACTGAAAGCTTTCTTATAGTACCATGCCATCATGAGTGTAGAGAGGTTAAACTGCTCTGAACATGGATATTATAAAATGGTGTTTGGTTTTTTTTTTTTATGTTGAAGAGGATAATTTGTGACCATAAAAATACGTTTCTAATAAATAGCTGGAAACGTGGTTCTGTGCACGTGTAACCTCCATACTTTCATCTATTTTGAGCAGGAAATAACAAGGGCTAACAAAGGATGGGCTCTTGACAGTGTAGTGCTGTGCAATGAGGTCACTAAATGGATGAAGGATGATATCAAAAGCCCTCCTTTGGAAGGTGTCTATGTGTATGGGCTGTATTTGGAAGGAGCAGGTTGGGACAGAAGAAACATGAGGCTGACGGAATCTAAGCCCAAGGTGGTCTTTGAGATGATGCCAGTTATAAGGATATATGCAGAGAATAACAGTAAGTAACTGTATGGTAAAGGATGTTATTTTGATAGAATTCGGTGTAATGTTTTATTCAACTGCATGGAAATCTTTTGGGCTTTAGGGATTTCATGAGGCTGTTGCTATTCATTGTACACATAGTGAATTTTGGGAGACTTCCCAGTCTTTCATATAAAATGAGCTTTAGCTTTCCTTAATAATTGATAGTAGGCATTTTTTCCCCTAATATTTAGATAGGTCTCTACTTTCTGGTCTTAATGGTATTAATGATGAGCTGTTCTCTGCCTCCTCTGACAAATATGCTTGCATTCAGGCTTCCATCGACAATGTGTCCTATATGGAGAAGATTAACGTTTATATACATAGACTCTGTAACCTCTGTAGGCCCTGTAACCTAAACCCAAATAACCTCTTTCTCACATCCCAAAAACCAATGTAATATGTATATATGTATAAAACTTATATAAGTATGTATACACAAGATATATCTATAAAAAACCCCATTTATATCTTATACAAGGTATTTATAGATAACGTATTATCTAGAACAAGTCCAGAGGAGAGGGCCACCGGGATGATCCGAGGGCTGGAGCACCTCTCCTATGAGGACAGGCTGAAAGAGTTGGGGCTGTTCAGCCTGGAAAAGAGAAGGCTCCAGGGAGATCTTACAGCGGCATGCCAGTACCTGAAGGGGCCTACAAGAAAGCTGGGGAAGGACTTTTCGTAAGGGCAGTTAATGACAGAACAAGGGGAAATGGGTTTAAACTGAAAGAGGGCAGGTTTAGATTAGATATTAGGAAGAAGTTCTTCACTGTGAGAGCGGTGAGATACTGGAACAGGTTGCCCAAGGAAGTTGTAGATGCCCCCTCCCTGGAAGTGTTTAAGGCCAGGCTTGATGTGGCTTGGAGCATCCTGGTCTAGTGGAAGTGGTTTGGAACTAGATGATCTTTAAGGTCCCTCCCAACCCAAACCATTCTATGATTCTATGTAAAGTATATATTTATAAAAATGCTCCCCCTCCCCCCTTTTTTTTTTTTTTTCTGGACAAGGCTTTTTTTGAGTGAACAGAAGCAAGCAAGAGGTAGAGTGAGGTGGTGGAAGATGTTTTGTCTTTGAGGCAGAAAAGAACTGTAACAATGGAAAGGAAACTTACGAGTCTGAAGGACAGTGCTGTTTACTGCAAATGTATCATTTAGGGGTATTTTTAATATAAAATAGGAAATACTGTCAAATAGGGATGTCAAATAGGATAGGGCTATCCACTGTGGAATGTAAAATTGGAAACTTCTGTTGACAAGCATTTCACCTCCAAAGCAAAGCCTACTTGCATGCTATTTTGCCAAGGTAGATCTTTTGTAAGAGGCATGATCACTGTGAAAGCAGCCAACATGCTAAATAATGAACACTGAAGTATTAAGCGTAACTAGACTACTGTTCTAATTCTGCAGTGAACAAGTTGATGATTTATACTCTGAAATACTAAATGCATTTCAAAATAGGTTGTTCAAAGTAAAGTATTTTTTATTTTGTCACATTAATAATACATTGACAAGAAGAAATGTTCAGTGGGCAGATCGATCTAATAGTAATTCTAATCACACTAGAGTGTCTATTTACATTTCTTGCTACATCCAGTTCCTAGGTGCTGATGTTAAATCTTAAACCTACAGGGATTTCAAGCCATAGGTGGCCATAAGCTGGCAATAACACAGTAGTGAACAGTGTGAGACTCAAGTAAGCATTTTTTTTGGTGGTGATGGAGAGCTGTGTGCCATTGAACTTTGATTTTACATTTGCCTTATGTCCAGTCCCTTAGGACCCTGTTTTTTCACTCTAGTTTCATTGTCTCTTCTGTCTTTTCAGATTCAAAGGATCCACGTCTGTATTCATGTCCAGTCTACAAAAAGACCATTCGAACACATATGAATTACATTACTGCTTTGGATCTTAAAACCCTTCAGCCACCAGAGCACTGGGTATTGCGTGGGGTAGCACTTCTGTGTGATGTCAAGTAATGCTAAAAAAAAAAGTTTATAAGTTTTTTTTTTTTTCTGTTTTTAAATTTAAACATCAATATGTAGTTAGCTTTACAATGGATCACTTCTAAAAATATATTTTCTAAGGCATTGACTCCCTTATGGTATTTTTATAAAATTGTTCTCAATAAACCTCTGCAATAGGCTTATAAATGCTAAATCTTAGAGTGATATTAAGTTTGGTAAATAATACTACCTTTGATGTCTTGACAAATCATGACAAATATTTAGTGTTCCTGTCTCACTATTGTGTGCTTACTTTTACTTTGAATAAAGATTAATTGACTTGAATGATATTACTTTTCAGTGGTAAATGTGCTTGTATCGGGGCTTGCCTTCAAATCACTGTATGCAAAGCCTTTTTTTTTGTGTGTGTGTGTCTATCTATGGAAAGCTAAGCCCAGTTGCTCATTCACATTAGTTAGTATCCCTCAAGATGGTGTTCAAAGATTTATCTCCTAGCTGATAGTTTCTAGTTTGCTTGCTGTCTAAATAAGAAAGGTGAGACTGGAAAAATGTCTCACCTGTTTCACTGCTTGAAGAAGAGTTTCATTGTGTTACACAGGAAAACAAGCATTTGACAGCTGCCAGAATTCCTTACTGTGTGGTTCATGACTTATAAATATGTAATGGATAAGAAGAAAATAGTTCCATAAGAATGCTTGGATATTTTTTCTTGTCCTAGTACACCAGATTTGAGTCAGTCTTCATCAAAGTTATTAGTTTTATGGCATCAATTTTAGCTTTGTTTCTGCTCTAATTTTGAAGTGTTGTGATTTTATATATTGGTTTTGTTTCTGTTTTTGTTTTTTTCTTCCCCACCCCCTTTCTCCTTTCTCAGCTAGACAGGAATTCACGTAGGAATCCATCTTAAGAGAGAAACGTTAGCTTAATTTAGTTGAATGCTATTGGCTTCACACATCAAACACACTTATTCAGTCATCAAAAAGCCAGTGTATTTTTGTTGCTGAGTCCAATAGGTCATAGATCTTAGTGGTCCATTAATCATTCACAATAACAGGTGCTGCACAAGAGGAAGCAGAAAGTACCAATATTTCTGGTGCATCTGTCATACATAAATGCTGGCAAAGAGCAATGGAGAAGCTGGTTTTGATTTTATGTCAAATCAATACATGGAATTTGAAGGGTGCATTAATTAGTTTATTAAATAAACATGCTAAATGTATCTCTTGCCTAAAGCTAATATTTAAAGAAATAAAAAAATAATATTAGCAGACAGGATAATTGTCTTCGTATTTTAGTGGAGACTTCAGCATTCACTTATACAGCCAAACCAGTTATGAAACTTAGGTGGAACATTGATTCTGTTTGAAATTCTAGTTGTAGAAGTTTTACGTTTTCTTTCCATCTTGAAATGATTTTTTTTTTAATTTTAAATAACTCACAGTGAAACAAATGAAATATATGAAAACCTCCTTTAGGAAATATTTTTAATTTAGACATGGCAATAAATAAATATAAGATGGGAGGGTTGAATTGTTCTTTACTGGACCTTGGAGCACCATGCTCAGACTTCCAGGAGGTGCTCTTGGATGATCATTGGAGTTCTAAGTTGCTGTGGACTTGTCTTTCACCAAGACCTTTCTCTTTGGAGTCATTCACACTGAAAATTTTCAAGCCATGTAGGCTTCAAATGCCACCTTTCAAACAGTGGATTTATTGTACCATTATTGCTGTAGACACAGTAGAGATGTCAAACCCCACAGTAATTCTCAGTGGATGAACTGTGTACATTTTTTTTTTTTTTTCCAGAGTGTGATTTTCTATAAGGGTGATGGGGAAAAGGGTTCCCCAAATAAATACACACTGGTCATCCTAGTTATACCAAAGACTGTTAGATCAGTGAAGCAATTGTTGTTGGGAGTCACTGTTATTTCTGTTTTATTAGCTCAGTTTCTTAAAAGGTTTGGCATTGGCTCTTTAGGTGTCTGCAAAGCCAGCAGAAGGAATCAAATGATGAAGCATGGAGAAGTTCAATGAAAAGCTCTTTTGAAATGCAGTATCATGTCAGGGGCCGGAGTGCATAACACTGCTCTCCCAGGGGTTTCACTGCCTGGGCTGGGGGACAACTTAATGCAGCTGGAATTAGACCTGCCTCGTTACTACAAACTTGCCTGGCAATCACTGATCTGTGGCAGACTCTGGTTACCCTCATCAGATCAGGCCCTGCCTTACTGACTCAACTTTATGGTGTGACCTCGGATCAGCCTTGTTATTACAGCCTCATCTGGCAGTCACTGATATGTTAGCTGGCGCTGGTTGCTGTCACAGACCTGCTCTGCTTTTCTGTTCAGGTGCCGTGGGACTGTGCCCTTCCTGGAGAGAGCCTTGCTCTGCCCACCCTGCTGTGACTCTTGGCTTCCAGCTCCACTTCCCTTTCCAAGCAGCCTGGCCTTGCTGCTCCCTGACATACGGCTTCAAACACATGAAAAAATGAACTGTTTCTTGTTCATCTTCATCATAGAAGTGGGGAATAAAATGTTTCTATGGAAAGGAATATCAATAAAATAACCAGCCCTGACATATTATAGAACTGGATATACTTTCTCCGTATTTTGTTCTGCTATTGGTACTGAATTGATTACTCAAGAAAAACCATTCATGGACATCAATTGTGCTGTTATTAAGCATATAGCACTATAAATTTAAGGGTCTGGAAAAATGCAGGCTTACAGAACATATTCCCTTATTTTCTTTTTGATATTTGGCATAATAAATACATGTATTTTGGAGAATATTAAAAAAATGTTATACAAATTTATCTTAGAATTAATATAACTTTCTGAATAAAGTGAAGGTATTACTTCTACATCAGAATCCTTTGAAATTCCTTGTAAATTTTTAAAGTATTTTAAATAAGCAACCAAATCTTTCAAATATATGCTATACTATGTAGGCTATACTACACAGAAGTGTCTTGTCTTCTAAGCTTCTCTTCAGAAATACTTTTTCCCTGAGCTCTGTGACTACATTCATACTTTTTTAGCTCATAGGTCACTCACATTGGAGTTTTTCTCTCTGTTGTGATTTGTTCCACTTTCAGAGATTATAAGGAAGAAGAAAAAGATAAGTTTTTATCACACTAGGCAGTACAATTTCAACTTCACAGTAAGTATAGTTGTCTTAGTGAAGAGGGTTTTTTTAATCAAAAGTACATTATTATAATATATGTATAAACTGGATTATAGAGAAAGTATTTCTCATTTTGAACTATCCTTCATTAAATTCTTTTTATAATGAAATTAATATTGAAGAAAATTCAATTTTTCTCCCTTTTTTTTTTTTTTACATTTTATTTTATTTTATTCCTTGCTTGGACAGTTATCCTATTCTAATTACCTGGGGCTGGACATACAGGGTGGCTTCCTAATGAATCTTGAAATAGAACTTGACTAGTGCTCACATACAACATTTTAATTTTAAACCATCACCAGCATTATAGGTGTGGTTTATAACAATATAGCATTATAGGTGTGGTTATAACAAATATCTGAAGGTTTTAGAACATATGCAAGGCTTAAAAAAACAGTGCTGCAGAGGTGGACTCATATGAGACATGTTGTTTATCAGTTGTGTAAAATCAAAAGTCTGTTAAACAGGTGAAGAAAAAAGACATAGTTCTTGACGTGTCTGTGAATCCCATGTTGTACCATTTACTGGAACTTCTGGCATCTTTTAATCTGCAATATGCAGCTTTCCCTCAAACTTTTCCAACTACTATGCTACCTTTTTCTATAACTTTTGTTCTTATAATAAAGTTAAAATATTCAGTGTAAGCGATAATGTATTATGTGTGTCTGTAAATTAATACAGAAAAATGAAAATTAAAATCTGGGTTTTAAAAACTAAACGGCAAATACATATTGCCAATCTCAATTTGTCTGTGAAGTCTGCACTTAGAAAGATTAGTTTTCTTGTTATTTACGTGCATATTCAGTCTTTTAAACAGATATCCAAAACAAAGAACAACTATTGAAGCAGCACTAGTTAGAGCTATTATTTGAAATGGATACTGCCCCTTAACTTTTTAGGGCAGCTATTATTTGCGTTGCAATCACTATGAGAACTGAAGTGGTGGGTTTTTTTTGTTTTTGCTGTCAGAGATTGAGATAACCTACTTTGGCAAGAAAAACAACAGATGTTAGATTGCTCACGGAAAAAGATGTTTTTTTTTTTTTTTTTCCAAAGGTGTTCTTCTTGGAACAAGAAAATGTAAACAAAAAAAATAAGTTAGGAAACTGTAACCTTCTGTGGAAAGAGCTTAGTGTGGTTTTACAGAAGACACTGTAACTTAAGACATTGTTTTCACTTGGATTGTCTGCAAACACCTGAAAGTTTTCAATTTCTCTCTGAAACCTCTGCAAGAATGGCAGTCAGTATATATAGGTCCTCCCCCAAAGCCTCTCCTCTGCCAATTGGCGTAACTTGAGTATAAAAGGTGTATGTTTTTTGAGGAAAAACTTAACCTGTAATATCTTTTCCTGTTAACTGACCTTATGATATCATTTGGCACATTACAATCTCCTCTATTTAAATTGGATTAGTTCCTATCTACTTTGCTTGCTCTGAGTGAACTGCAATTCCAGCAAAGTAATAGTAGATTTGATTGGGAAGGACACTGTAAGTGGTTCACACTGGCTGTCAGTTGCTTTTCTATTCTGATCGATACGTACTTGGTAAGTAAATGATGACCGATGTTGAAGCCCGATACCACTGTGTAAGATTGAGACAAGTGTGTGCAAAACATATCTAGAAGTGAAGTAAGATATGTTCAATACATCTCCCTTTTCTGCATCATCATTTGCAAAAATAAGTTCCTTTGTATTAACTTGCATAAATCAATGTTGTTTCAGTTAAAATGTTTTGCATAAAATGTGCAGATGAGAACAAATAACAATCATTGCAAAACTCAGATGACT